AGCAGTGGCAGCGACGGCAGTGGGGCTGGGAGGTGCAGTAGCCTAAACGGCAGGCGTGGCGGCGGTGGGAATTAGCAACGCAGCAGCAGTGGCAGCGACGGCGGTGGGGTTGGAGGTGCAGTAGCCTAAACGGCAGGCGCGGCGGCGGCGGGAATTAGCAACGCAGCAGCAGTGGCAGCGATGAAGGTGGGGTTGGAAGGTGCAGTATCCTTAACGGCAGGCATGGTGGTGGGGGAAATAGCAAGAGCAGCAGGCGTGGCGGCTGGGGGAATTAGCAACGGAGTAGCAGCGGCAGCGACTGCGTTGGGGCTGGGAGGTGCAGTAGCCTAAATGGCAGGCACGGCGGTGGCAGGAAATAGCAATGCAGCAGCAGCGGCAGCGACGGTGTTGGGGCTGGGAGGTGCAGTAGCCTAAACGGCAGGCGCGGCGGCGGCGGGAATTAGCAACGGAGTAGCAACGGCAGCGACGGCGGTGGGGCTGGGAGATGCATTAATCTGAACAGGAGGTGCGGCGGCGGCGGGAGATAGCAACGGAGTAGCAGCGGCAGCGATGAAGGTGGGGCTGGGAGGGCTATTAGTCTCAACAGCAGGCACGGCGGCGGGGGGAATTAGCAACGGAGTAGCAGCGGCAGCGACGAAGGTGGGGCTGGGAGGTACCAGATGGTGCAATTTGCACAGCAATCACATAGTGCTAAACGCAGTGACGTTTCTTATTGGTGTTGCAAATTGTCCACGTTCACTTGACTTCTGGGCAGCAAGAGGGGAAAGTGTCCGGAAGTGTACAGCATGGTATAAAGTTCACATGGCTGCAAATTCAATATTGGGAAGTTGTTTCGTGGCTACCGAACTTTGTTGATTGCATCATTTAAATCCTTGCCAGAACCTGCCATAGAATAGGATGCTCTTTTGTCATGGCGGGACCAAATGCTTGCTTGTGTAGAAGCATTAGAAGCTCGACGATTGATACAAACGTGAATGTTCTGGTATTCCTACACATTGTGATCATTCTTACTGGTCACATTAGCCAGTTTGCCATGTCATTGAATGCGCTGGAGGTGGCATCCAAACCACGAAAGATCATTTACAGACCGGATGTAGCTCCGGACTCCTCCCAGCCTTTTCACTGCACCAACTGTGCCAACTGGTTTGGTAGTCGGTCACATGCATATCGGCACCAGTGCAAAGAAAGGGGGTGGAGTATGGCCGCCGCCGCGCCTGCGGTTGAGACTAATGCACCTCCCACATGTTTTAGCTAGTTACATCAACAATGCTGTGCCTGTGGGACGGTGCGAGCTGGTGACTTAACTTGTCATGCTTGAACACAGCAGGAGAGAATCTTTGCTAATTAAACCTTAAATACATGCCTTAAGTCACTGCAAGTGGCTGAAACGAAGGTAATTCAAGTGCACTCCAGAATCCCTGCAGGGATGCTGCATAGTACATTGTGCACATTGTTATGGAGGTAATATACTATGCAGCATTTCAGAGGGGATTCGGGAGTCCATATGGCATATAATTGTCACTTTTTAGAAAGGAACAAAACATGAACACATAGCCAGCATATGACCATTGGGAACATGACTGAATTTACATATACCCCGCCGGCGGACGGTCCCCTGTCCGCAACGCCGTACATCTTGACCGTTCCAGCGGACGCCTAGCGGACGGTCATGGAAACGATGGTCCAAAGCTCCAAAACATCTGTATGTAGATGATTCATGAGACACTAATAATTAATGCTCCAGCTTGCATTCCTTGGCAAGCAATTCACGTGCAAAACACTCTCCAGGAGAAACTAACACCAAAATTGTGACGCACATAGTCAAAAGGCTTCTAGCATAAAAGGAGAAAGCAATCGAAAGAAAAAAGACAACATCTCAAGGCGCGCGGCGGACATTCTAATGACCTGTTTATGTAACCTGCTTAAATAACACCAACGCACTGGAACAATTGAATCATGCAATAAGGTCATTGCAATGGCCACAAGCACTGGGCATTAGTGAAAGGGATTCAGCAAAGACTGACCGCCATGCCCAACACGTCGTTCCATCCCTTTGTCGGCTCTGAGTGGCACAATGAATGCTCTACTGGGTACACGATCATTTGGCGGTGGAAAGAGGCCATTGTATGGCATCCGAGCTGGCGCACAGCTTGCGCATGTCCCCAAGACCCAACACGGCACCACGCCCCGCACCCGGTTACGCCCTTGTCCTGCATTCCACCTGCCAGCCTGTCTGTGCAACACAGCGCATGGCGGGCAGGCCAACGAAGCCATACCAAAGTTTCGTTAAAGACTGGGGTCCCAAGCTCTCAGAATCCCAGGCTGCCAGGCTCCCAGGCACATAGGCTGCTGTAGCAAGCTACATTTCCCTTAGAATATTTTAACGATTACTTTTAACAATAATTGTTAATTTGTAAAACGATCTGACTCAAGTTTCGTACATGTTCCGAGTTTCGTCACATGTCACGAACTGGGCAGCTATTAGTAAGCGAATCTAACGGGATGGGGCCCCGGGCCCCACCAACATTATCCTAGTACGGCAAGGTCCGTAGTAGAGATTATCCGGCAGGTAGGCCGAGATATAAGCTACCCGGGCGGGGTGTTCTGGCCAGACACTGACGTATCACATTACTAGGTGTTCGGAGTTCAAGACTCCGCTGCCGCCGTCTCTAATCGTTACGTACACATCTTATGTACGCTAGTGCCTGCCGCTTGGTTGGACTTCTTCCTACATCGACGAGGACTAATAACTCCACGCTTCCGCTTTGCCAGTCCTCCCGTCAGGTGAGCGACTGCTACATTGGTATCGAGCGTCAAGTTCGATCCTCCTTGACGCGATGCGCTACAATAAGGCCGCGCAAAAGCGTTTGACTAAATTCCTTAAGCTTCAAAAATCGTATGAAAGGTATCGCGAAGCATCCCTTCAGGAACAGGACCCTGCTGCGCACGAGGCTGCTAATTCCGACGACGAAGACGAACACCCTTTGGCTATTCCCAATAAGGAACATCATATTAATAATATTCCTGTTAATTGTCCACAGATGGACGTTGATTCTCCGGCGGAATCGCCTTCGGAGACCGTGCAGCGGGCCTCGCCTTCTACGGGCTTCCGGCGTGTACGCCAGCGCAGGCTGCGGCAGCCGTGCAGGTCCAGGAAATGCTTCGCGCAGCTCGCGACAATCAAGTCCCTGCTCTTCAAGCGGAATTATCTTCCTTTAAGGGAGAGGTTCACGGCATTCTCGCCAAATACGGCGAGCGCTTGGGCGAAATAACCTCCGCCCTGAAGGATGTCCAAGCGCAGCTTCGGGATTTGTCACCTACGTCGCCGCCTCCGAGTACGTCGGACATTAGGCGTAAGACGATAATTATTGATGGCATCTGCGAGACGCTGGACAGCAATCTGGCCGTGTTTCTTGACGTGGATATGCTGCAGAATTGCGCTTTCCAGGCGCTTCTGCAGCGCCACCTTAATCCCGAAGTCCGTTTGGATGAGGTCAAGCAGCTCTGGAGCGAGGGCATCGCCAAGCAAGCCGGTGGTCCTTCCGGCTCGGCGGCCCCCCCTTCTAAGTCTGCCCATCCCTCAGAGGTAAATAAGCGTATCCTTGCACCACCTCGTTTTAGTGGAAAGAAGGATTCGCAAATTACTAATACTAAGACATGGTTCGCGCTTCTTATGCAATATTTTGACTTGTCGCAAATGGACCCGCTTGAGCACTTTATGTTTTGGCTTACGGGCAAGGCTCAGGAGTGGGCCGCAGATCTTTTCCTTAAGCACAAGTCCGGCGCGCAACCACTTACCCGCGATTTGTTGCGTGATAAATTCCTGTTACAATATGGGGATGCGAAGCGCGACACCGCGATGGCCGCACGCGATCGTTTGCATGCGCACGACTACGATATGAAAATAGACGAGTCCGTACCGGAGTATACGCAGCGCTTTTACGATATTGTTCGCGAAGCGAATGATATGAGTGTTGCGGATCAAATCTCTTGGTATATCAAGGGCTTAGTTCCTGCGCTGCACGGTCGCTGCGCTACGGACGATGAGGGCAAAGACTGGCAGGATTTAGAGAAGCTAATCCTGTATGCTAGCGGTCAGGAGGTTGGGTGGAAAGCCGGAAAGGACAAAGCACAGCTTGCTGTAGTTACTACGCAAGCTGGCCCGTCTAAGATTACTTCCTCCTCTCGCCCTAAGCAATCTCGCCCTCGGTCCCCTTCCAAACAGGCCTGGGAAACGGTTCGTGCGAAGAAACCGCGGACGTCAACGTCCGGTACTCCTCTCAAGTGTCGGATGTGCTCTCGCCTCAAACCGGCGAACCAGACTTGGGAAGAGCACAAGAAGGACTGCCTTCGCCACCTGCAGGAGCAGATGGCCCGACTGCAGGAGAAGACGGCTACTTTAAACGCGAACCGACCGGCTAATTAGGACGCTGGCAAGCGCGAGGGGGTGTTTTGCAAGCAGGCCGTAGCACGTGTAGACCAAGTCTCTTCTGCCGAGCCTGACTTGACGACTAGGGACTCTGTTGTTCCGCCCGTCTGTGATCCATTGATATGTGATCGGATGTTCCTTCGTGATGAATTTCGAAGAGTTGAGAACGAACTTGGGCGTCAATTTACGTTCGATGCCGCGTGTAACGACTCGGGCGACAACAGTCTCTGTTCGCGCTTTGCCTCTCCATCCAACTCGTTCCTTGATACTGACGTCTCTGGCGAGTTTGTTTGGATCAATCCCCCATACACTCATATTAAAGAATGGCAGCAACA